AGTGAATGAAAAAGAGGGAAGGAAGAAGAAGAGAGAAAGTAGAGAAGAGGACGAAGGAAACAAAAAGGAACGGGTCTGAGAAGGAAAGAGGAAGAATAGAGGAAGAAAGAAAGAAAGAAAAGGAGAAAAAGGAGAAAAGAAAAAAGAAAAAAGAAAGGAGAAAAAAGATAGTTTTATCTTTTAAAAAACAATAGAATTTTTCATTTGTTAAATTATACATTTTTAAAAATATTTTTTCAAAACAGAAATTAGCATAAATACCCTTGAAAAATAATTCACATAATATTATTCTCAATTTGTACTACCAGACATATTTTCATTGTTTATAATAATTTTAGCCTCTAAAAATATCAGAATTTTAAAAAAAGTAGAACTGAAATTAGTAAAAATACACATGAAAAACAATTGTACTACCAGACACGTTTTCATTGTTTTTGTTTTCTAAACATGTTTTCTAATTATCTACCAGACGCATTTTTATTTCCTAAAAATGCAAATTTGTTTTCTTGTTTTCATTCTCTGAAATATTCTCAGAAAACATTCTCCGAAAACGTTACCAGACGGGCCCTAAGGCTATTGGGCTGCATTGTTTCTCCTTACGAATCCAAGCCCAACTTAAAAGCTTATTGGGCCAATAACAAATCCACTTTTCACTTCACCAACAAGCCCATACTGCCAAACAGCATTTCACTTCCCAATCCTTAAACCCTCCCTACTCCCAAGTTTCTTCCCTTTCTTCTATCCACATACTCTGCCACCCGCCATGTCCCTCCTCCGCAGGACCTTCCCTCTCCTACCCCTCCGTTCCAAACCCCTAAACCCTCTCCTATCCCACGCCTTCCTTATTCTCAAACCCTCCTTCTCTAAACCACTTCCCAAACACACCTCCATTTTCTCTTCTTCGTCTTCTTCTTCCTCCTCCACCTCCTCTTCCACCACACCCATTTCCAATCCCAAGACCCCAATTGCCCCGACCCCTCTCCAATGGGTCACCCGAACCGGCTTCTGCGGCGAGCTATCCACGGCCGATGTGGGCAGACGGGTCACGCTTTGCGGGTGGGTCGCCCTCCACCGGGTCCACGGCGGCCTCACCTTCCTCAACCTCCGGGACCACACCGGCTCTGTTCAGGTCACCACTCTTCCCGATACGTTTCCCGATGCTCATTCCGCCATTAACGACTTGAGACTCGAGTACGTCGTTGCCGTCGAAGGCGTTGTCCGGTCTAGACCGGCTGACTCCGTCAACAAGAAGATGAAAACGGGCTTAATAGAGGTTGCGGCAGAGAGTGTTCAGGTGTTGAATGCTGTGAGGTCTAAGTTGCCATTTTTAGTGACTACTGTAGATGATGCTAAGGATTCTGTTAAGGAGGAGATACGTCTAAGGTAATCTCACACTTCTCAATGTTACTCTTTAGTGGAAATGACTTGAATTTTCTTTATTTATTTTTTTTCGTCAATAATTTCGTACATGGTATTTGTTGGAACTGTGTTAATTGAAATTACTTAGATACATGTTGATAGATACCGGTGCCTTGATCTACGCCGTCAACAAATGCATTCAAACATGATGTTACGGCATAAAGTTGTGAAATTGATTCGGAGACATCTCGAGGATGTACATGGTTTTGTAGAGGTACCATCTCGGGAATTCTAGATTTTTAAAGTCGTTATGTATTACATTTCCATACTCATTATTTACCTTTTTTTTGTTGGGTTTCAGAAACAAAGGTAGAAAAGTTATGTTTTGTTTTGATTCTGATTTTTGCTCATGGTTATAAGGTAGATTGAGACTCCAATACTCTCTAGATCTACACCGGAAGGTGCCCGAGATTATTTAGTGCCCTCAAGAGTTCAGGTACCTTACAGCTATTTAGCTGGCACTCACTTCAATTATTTTTATTTTTTTGGTGAATCACTCACTTAGTCTGGTCTGCTATACACTACTCAGAAAGCCTGTGAATCCCCCACTTACATTGGATTTTAAGTTTACTTAGCTGGTTACTTCCATTTATCTTGGCTTTTGAGCATATTTGCTCTAATGTGTAATTTGAAGCCAGGAACATTTTATGCATTGCCTCAAAGTCCACAACTGTTCAAGCAAATGTTAATGGTTTCTGGTTTTGATAAGTATTATCAAATAGCAAGGTAAATATATTGTTGTCTTTCTGTCTCATTATTTTCATGGTAGATTTTCTGCTTTCCTTCAATAAGCCTGTTACTTCACATGACCATTTTCCTTAGATGCTATGATAATAAATCAAAGCGTATAATCGTTATGCAGACTTTCAACTGAAATTGTAAAAGTCCAACTTTGCGTTTCTTTTTGCAGGTGCTTTCGAGATGAAGATCTAAGAGCTGATAGACAACCCGAATTCACACAGCTTGATATGGAGCTTGCTTTCACTCCTTTGGAGGAGATGCTGAAGCTTAATGAAGATTTAATTAGAAAGGTTAGTTATTAGTTGGCTCCTATTAATCAAAGAGAGAGGGAAAGGAGTGAGAAAACTTAGCCTTTGAAATATGACATCTCTTTAACATCCACCTGCACATTACTGGGCAATTAGAAATCTATCTGTGCTTTTTGCAGGTTTTTCTAGAGATCAAAGGTGTACATCTCCCAAACCCTTTTCCTAGGCTTACATATGCTGAAGCAATGAGTCGATATGGTTCAGACAGGCCAGATATTAGATTTGATCTTGAGTTAAAAGATGTAATCATCTTTCCCTTGACTTACATGTTTAGTATTTAATGGATTTCATATTGCAGATAATAGATTATAGACATCCCTGGATGCAGTTCACAGTCTCTTAAAATTTATTCTGGATACAGTTTAATAACATTATGTTTGCATCTTTAAAAGTTGTTTTATCAACTTCAAAAGATTTATCTGGTATAGTTGAGTTTTCTTATCTTTAGGAATACTGTTTTCTTTTCTTTCTTGTGTGGATCTTTTGTAGACATAGCCAGAAATTCGAAGTATTTCTAGCGTGTATCTTGTTTAAAGATTTCATGTAATAGTCAAAACGTTTGCATGTCGCAACCAAGCTTGAAGTTGTAGTTTTTCTTTTCAGCTTTCCTGATGTAGATAAAAAATAGGTACCGTCCTGTCACACATTAAATAAAGGACTAATGTTACTCCACACAGATTTGGAGTCTAGATTTATATGGAAAAACACCCAATGCTTTGATAAAAGTGTTTTTCCCATAAAACCTCATGTTCCCACACTATGGGTACTGCTCTCTTTTATAGTTTACTTCTAATGACTCTTTCTTCTCCCTAAGCATATAAGTGAAACATTCAGCATTCCAGTAAAACCGTTATGACCTTTTTCCGTTATGGCTTGAATACGTTTCCTTGTGCTTTTACAACTGATCAACAGTTCTTTTTTCCCCCTAATTTTTTACATGTTTGTTATGTAAAAGTTTATTTGAAGTTCTTGTTAAATTGAGGTTTCCTTTATTTGAATTTCAGGTATCTGATATATTCTCAGATTCCCCCTTCAGGGTTTTTGCCGATACTTTGCAAAGTGGGGGAGTTCTCAAAGTTTTATGCGTACCTTCAGGTGCTAAAAGCTATTCAAACACGGCTCTAAAGAAGGGTGATCTTTACAATGAAGCAATCAAATCTGGAGCGAAGGGTTTGCCTTTCCTCAAGGTCTTGAATGATGGTGAGAAAGTAATTTTATTTTAATTTGTGATGCTTAAGATATATTTCTATTGCAGTATCTCACTATTGGCGGTTTTCTACCTTTTTTTCTTAGGGGGAGTTGAGGGAATTCCTGCGTTGGTATCTACTATGGATCCAACAAATACCGAGCAGTTTCTGAGTCGTTGCTCTGCCAGACCAGGTGATCTTATCTTGTTTGCAGTGGGTCATCATTCATCAGTTAATAAAACTCTAGATCGACTACGGGTGTATCTGGCACATGAGCTTGGTTTGGTTGATGATGTAAGTGTTACCATCAAATTATAAGGTGAATATTGATCATAATTCTTCTCATTTGCTGACTCTTATTCTTTTTGACTTTATGGCTAATATCTAGTCCAGGCATTCAATTCTGTGGGTGACCGATTTCCCAATGTTTGAATGGAATGATCCTGAGCAAAGGCTGGAGGTATTTCTCTTGTTTGTGTTCCATCTCTTGCAGTTTAACTATGTGATATATGTTTTTTTACATTACAAATTTGTACTAACACTGATTCATAATTGAGTTGTCATCAATGGGAACCTATTATATGGGTGAGATATTAATCCTTGCATATCATCAAGATATCCTGGATTTCTTGTGGTTTGAGCAGTCTGTGGTCACTTGATATATTCCTTTTGCATCTAAAGTAGATGAAAGAAAATTATTGATGACTAAAAGGAATTAATAGGAATTAAATGATACTTGTTAAGTATTGTATTTGATTTTGAAGAAAAGATTTGTGGGCAACTGTTGGAGAACCTCTTGGTAATTTGTAAATCTTTAGTGCATCTTCCATCTCTTCTTGTCTGTACAATGCTGCATATATGTTCAAAATCATTATTGATTTTCAGGCCTTGCACCACCCTTTCACTGCCCCAAATCCTGAAGACATAAAAGATCTTTCTTCTGCTCGTGCTTTAGCTTATGACATGGTTTACAATGGAGTTGAGGTACACCTTTGTTACTTTTCTCCTCTCAGCTTGAAGTCAAATGCATTTGCTAATTCTCTCTACTAGATAATAAATTGATGTGGTGTTTCCTATGGTGCCAACAGATTGGTGGGGGAAGTTTGAGAATATATAAACGTGAGGTGCAGCAAAAAGTTTTGGAAATTGTTGGTATCTCCCCTGAAGAGGTGAGTGCACTTTTACATTGTATTTGGGCCTGTGGAGAGATCTATTATGTCTACTGTTTATCACCATTTACTGTTAATCTTTCTGATGTACTTGCCTTACTGATTCCGTTTCTTATTTTGATGTTTTCAAACTTAAGCTCTAGACCTTAGGCTTCATTATGAGCTCAGTAATATGAACACCTTGTTCTCTCCAATAATGTGGTGGCATTTTATTTGGCCTGCAGGCTGAAGCGAAGTTTGGCTATCTTCTCGAGGCTTTAGACATGGGTGCCCCTCCGCATGGTATTGAATTCTATACCTAGGGCATGGCTCTATAACAGCCTAATTACTAGGAGTCCAATTGATAAATTAACTTACAACTATCTTTTAAATGATTATTGTTTTTTTTCTTCTAGAATTAATTGAGTATACTTTTAATTTTGATGCAGGGGGGATTGCTTATGGTTTGGATAGATTGATTATGTTGTTGGCGGGTGCTAATTCCATTAGGGATGTCATAGCTTTCCCAAAAACGACAACTGCACAGTGTGCCCTCACGCGAACACCATCTCAGGTGGATCCGCAGCAGCTAAAGGATCTATTGTATCAGACTCATTAGTACAATCTTCAATCGGCTTATCCATATCAGAAGATATAGCTACCCATATTTCTGTTCCCTAATTGTTATTGCACTTGATCATTGAGCTTGTGTGGTCTGGACAAGTCAATTTTTGATTTCCCAGGGAACTATATAGTACTGTCTGTTAAAGATATTTATGATAAGTTTTCTTTTTTCTTATTCATAAACCCTATGATACCCGATCTTATTCATGACCCAGAACTGAACAACAGTTTTTTTGCATTGTATGGGACTATAATTTTTCTTTCTTTGTTTTGGTTTAATGCAAATTATCAGTTGCAATACCAGAAATTCTTCATGTTTATTCCAACTGTGGCTACCACTTGACTTTACAAACAGTCTAGGGGTTCATACTTCAAACGGAAAGAAAGATAAATACTGTTGGGTTGTAAGACTCATTTCAATCAACTGTTGACAGTCTGACTATGCACACTGACGACTTTCATTAGCATTTCTCGAGAATATTGAAAGCTTGATGATGAAATCAAATTTTTCACATCAGTAGCACTTATGGTCCGGTCGGAATTTCTTCGTTAGAAAATACTTCTATTCATAAGTGCTTGTACTAAAAGCACATTGACATTTTTATTAATTTCCAAAGTGCTTCATGTACTTTTTAAGTTTTATGTTCAACGCTTATATAAGTACATGAAGCACTTTTTAAGTTTTCTGTTCAACGCTTATATAAGTACTTTTGATTATTAGAAACAACTTTTAGCAATTCCAATTTCAGAAGCCGTCTCAAATGGACACTTATTAGTCTAGTTATACTTCTCTTCCAAATGTTGAACTAGATTTTTATGTGCTTTGTCTTCGAAAAGGTTATGGTATCTTACTACCGGAGATTGATTATCAATTGCATAGGGTTAACCATTCCAGGGAAAATCTCTTTTTTGAACATGCTTTCTCTAACGTACCTACTTTAATTCTAATTAACAAGATCTAAATGTCGTTTGTATTCAATTTTGTAATCATCATGCATAAATATGGATGCCATGATGGTAAATATCGGTTATACATAATTTCCTTTCGACAGTAATTTTGTGGGTTGTATGCATAATGCATCAGTAACACAACACTTGAATAAATTTGTGGAAAAATAATAATATAACAAGCTCATACTATAATTTTCTTGTTTTTATTCTGTCTAAAAGTTATAGAGCTCATAATTCATTAACTTCTAATTAAGAAAAACCTCCGAACTTTTTACGAGCATACATGATTTAGAAATTATATATGGAACAAAACCTATGTTATGCATATCTAGACCTAATTATGAATCATGATGATATCTCAACCATAATTGATCTAGAAACTGGCCACAAAAACTAAGTTTTCTTTCTCCTTTTTGCTTATATGTATGATTTAACCTAATAGTTATCAGAAAAATGATGTGAGATATATAGGTTTTATATGTCTACCAAATTACTTATCCTTAATTTATACGTGACTATTGTGATTAATTTGTCATTTGCATACACATCAAGCATGCAATGCAAATGACAAATTAAGCAAATTAGAGTTGGATTTCAAGATTTTCTAGGCGTGTAGTATTCTTGCCGATGCTACTTGTTTGGAATTCCAAATCCAACCTATAACATATTGAACACATTAAAACTAAAGAGACAAAAGGATTACGTACAGGTGATTATGCTATTTGATCATAGATATCTGATATGTTATATTGTCGAACTGGACCTTAAAATTAAAAGGATTTTATTTTCAATAATTCAAATTGATAGTGTGAACACAAGATAATTTTATGAGAGAAATATAAACATAGCGATTTATTATAATTTTTCTTGTGCATGTATGTATGTGTTGTCTCTCGCATCGATAAATAATAAGAATGGGTGTAACAAGTCAAGGATTCATGAAGTGCATACCATGTATGCTAAGAGAAAAAGATTCCACATTCTCCCAAACTGGTAGATCAGTAACTACATGCAAAGAGGTAAAAATATTGACAACAAATTATATAGTAATTTGTAGACCTATAACCCAAGTAGTTTCCAAGTAATGCTAGATGACTACCTTTTTAGACCAAATGCAATATTAAAGCACGTTATGTGACAAATGAGGTACACTTGCTATAAATTATTATGACTAATATATCGGTAATTGCCAGTACTCATAAGACATATGTCATGGTTCACTCATCTGATCCAAAAATATGATTTTTTACCATAAAAGTGAATTTCTATGTATAAACCCTAATATATACCCCTCCCTGATCCTTATCCCAAACAATTTAAACAACCCCAACGCTTATATAAGTGCTTTTGATTATCAGAAACAACATTTAGCCATTTCAATTTCAGAAGCCGTCTCAAATAGGCACTTATTAGTCTAGTTTAGTCTAGTTATACTTTGTCTTCCTAATGTTGAAATAGGTTTTTATGTGCTTTGTCTTCGAAAAGGTTATGGTATCTTACTACCAGAGATTGATTACCAATCGCATATAATTAACCATTCCGGGGAAATCTCTTTTTTAAACATGCTTTTTCTAATACATACCTAATTTAATTCTAATTAACAAGATCTATATGTCGTTCGTATCCAATTTTGTAATCATCATGCATAAATATAGATGCCAAAACAGTAAATATCAGTTCTACATAATTTCCTTCCGACAGTAATTTTGTGGGTTGTATGCATCAGTTACACAACACTTGAATAAATTTGTGGAAAAATAATAATACAACGAGCTCACACTATAATTTTCTTGTTTTTATTCTATATGTCTAAAAGTTATAGAGGTCATAATTCATTAACTTCTAATTGAGAAAAACCTCCGAACTTTTTTACGAGCATACATGATCTAGAAATTATATATGGAACAAAACCTATGTTATGCATACCTAGACCTAATGATGATATCTCAACTATAATTGATCTAGAAACTGGCCACAGAAACTAATTAGATACCCCGGTTTCTTTTCCTTTGAATTGTTTGCGTTCTCCTTTTTGTTTATATGTATTATTTAACCTAATAATTATCAGAAAAATGATGTGAGATGAAGGTTTTATATATGTCTACCCAATATTACTTATCCTTAATTTATACAGAACTATTGTGATTAATTTGTCATTTGCATACACACCAAGCATGCAAATTAAGCAAATTAAAGTTGGATTTCAAGATTTTCTTGGAGTACTCTTGCCAATGTTACTGTTTGGAATTCCAAATCCAACCTATAACATATTGAACACATTAAAACTAAAGAGGTAAAAGGCTTATGTACAGGTGATTATGCTATCTAATCATAGATATATCTGGTATGTTATATTGTCGAACTATCAATCTGGACCTTAAAATTAAAAAGATTTTATTTCAATAATTCAAATTGATAATGTGGACACAAGATAATTTTATGAGTGAAATATGAATCTAGCGATTTATTATAATTTTTCTTATGCATGCATGTATGTGTTGTCTCTCGCATCGATAAATAATAAGAATAGGTGTAACAGGTCAAGGGTGAATAAAATTCATGAGGTGCATACCATGTATGCTAAAGAGAAAAAGATTCCAAATTCTCCCAAACTGGTATATCAGTAACTACATGCAAAGAGGTAAAAATATTGACAGCAAATTATAGTAATTTGTAGACCTATAACCCAACAAGTTTCCAAGTAATGCTAGATGACTACCTTTTTAGAGCAAAAGCAATATTAAAATACATTATGTGACAGATGAGGTATACTTCCCAAAAATTATTATGGCCAATATATTGGTAATTGCCAGTACTCATAAGACACATATCGTGGTTCACCCATCAGATCCAAAAATATGATTTTTTACCAAAAAAGTGAATTTCTATGTATAAACCCTAATATATACCCCGTCCCCTTCCCTGATCTCTATCTCAAACAATATAAACAACCCCATTTGTCTCAATCTCTGTCTCTTTGCTTAGTGATTAGATTTTAATAATCATCAAAAGAGCTTTCTTTGCTTGATTTTAGCCATGGTGAGGAAGAGCAAAGGTAGGCAAAAGGTGGAGATGGTCAAGATGGCCAATGAGAGCAACCTCCAAGTGACCTTCTCAAAGCGCAGGTCAGGTCTCTTCAAGAAGGCCAGTGAGCTTTGCACTTTGTGTGGTGCTGAGGTGGCCATCATCGTCTTCTCCCCGGGGCGAAAGGTCTTTTCCTTTGGTCACCCCTGCGTGGAGACTCTCATTGATCGGTACCTCTCCCGAAACCCGCCTCATCACCATCACCACCAAAACTCCGGCACAATGCAGCTCATTGAGGCTCACCGCAATGCCAATGTGCGTGAGCTCAATGGCGAGTTGACTCAGATCTCGAATCAACTCGAGGTTGAGAAGAAGCGTGGGGATGAGCTGAACCAGGTGAAGAAGGTGACTCAGGCTCAGTGCTGGTGGGAGGGGCCATTGGAAGGGATGGAGATGTCACAGCTGGAGCAGCTCAAGACCTCTCTTGAGGAGCTGAAGAAGAATGTGGCCAGACAGGCTGATAGGGTTTTGATTCAAAACACAAACCCTAGCCAATTCTTTGTGGGGAGTAGTTCCAGTCATCCCAATGTTGGGTTCAATGGAAATCATGTTATGCCTCCTCATCTTCCCCCCCATGCATGGAATCCTGGATATGGACGCTTCTTCTGAAGATTGATCTCTCCTGGATGATGTTGATGATGATGCTGCTGATATTAATTACTTATTAGCCACAGCCACAGTTTTTACTTTCCATATTTTGTTATCTATATATGTACTTGTTATTGTGTGTTTAATTTCTGTTGTTTGGTATATGGTCATAATCCATATATATGCATGTGTCATGTTTGTTTTACTATTATTTTGTTATCTATATATGTACTTTGTTCACTTCTTTTGCGTATATGAAGACATCCTTGCTAAGGAAATCAATATGTTTACTTATCCTAATTCTTCTAACCCTTCTCTTTTAGACTAACTTATATATTTGATTCACTTTTAACTACAGGAAATTGGAAACTACCACTTTCTATGTACCTTGAAGCACCCAATATTCTTTGGAGAATAATGCTATAATATAGTACATCAAAATAAAATTCTAAAATTTTAGATACATAATCAACTCTACTGATCTGATAACATTTTAATCATACGTTTAAATTTCACCTAGTTAATTTTTAACAACTAATACATTGTCAGAAATCATTTTTCAAATCATTTGGTGATATTATATATACAAGGACATGCATTTTAGGTTGTTATATACTGTC